ACACTGCTCCGGCAGTTTCAAATCAGTGACGGGGAGTTCAAACACTACACTAAAGAGCATGTCCTCTTTGCTAAAGAAACTCACCATTTTTCATAACAACCTTTCATATATAGGCGGTTTTAATAAATTAACCAAGTTTAATTACCAGTAACAACCATTTACACAATCAATTCAATTTAGATACAGTTGAAATTTAAAAAAATCACAAATTACTGAAGAAATAACACGATTACTCCGTCCCAAGAAATTCGAAGTATTTCGATAAGAATGTTAGATATCAAACTGTTAGATCATATCGTCATCGTCAGACTTTGTCCTCTCTAATACTTGTTTTCTTACAAATCTTACCCAGGTTGATGCAGTGAACATCTTTAGCTCATCCTGTAATTGATCTGAAGGTCTTCTTATAGACCGTCTACTCACCGTGCCGGGAAACTGTTTAATGTCTCTCTGATACGGCGATGGTCGGCTGTCAATGTAGCGTGTCATGGCCATCGCTGTTCTTAACTTTACAACACGTGTAATGAAGTCGTGCATTCTTGTTGCTGCACTTATCCATTCAGTCATCACACTAACTTTTCTTCTTATTCCCACAATACACCTTTCTATGAATGTTCATCATCTGTAGTTTATGAATAGTTTTCAGACCTTGGGCCGACGTTTCGAATTCACAAGTTAGCACTGGTAGTTGTAGCACTCATCGAATATTTTCTGCTTAACAGCACAAAGACATTATCTTTGATAAGAATATTTTCAATCTTCCAAAAGTAGTTCATTTCATCCTTACTATGATATTTTTTTAACTTTGAAAATTTTATACAATCGTATCTCCGTTGCAGAATTAAGCTTTCTCATACAGACATAGTATCGCAATTCTTCAAGCCTAAGTTTACTGACTTCAGACGTCGCAGGGTCAGGCGTTTATTAAATATGACACGAGTCCTTTTCAGGATAATTTTATATGCTGACTTCACGCTGGCATCATTCAGCTCTTGAATTCATTTTCAGAGTTGTTCCGGTGACAGTGAGGAATAAATCGAGAGCAGTAAGCGTTGGACAAAGTGTCGAAGTGACCGGTAAATAAATATTTACAACGCAGTCCAACTTAGCTTAAAATCCCAATTTTCGGCATATGGTCCGTTAGACGTTGATTCAAACAAGCTATTTCGCTATTTCAATCAAAGTGAGTCTGTTGAAAGTATGTTTACCTATAAGGATAGTAGGAACGGTAATGCGGTGACACAAATTCCACGCATATATTCAAGAAGAGCCTGTTCAATTCCTAAGCTCAAACGAGTATATCAACTGATACCAGAGGTCAAACTTGTTTAAGAATGAATTCACTTGTTCTTCAATTGTTCTTCAGTGGTTCCCACAGAACTTTAGTAGCGAGTCAATGATCTCAGGAGAGAGGAATTACTTTAACAAAACTTGTGATCAGGCTGTTTAGCGTCCCATTACGTACTTAATATCTGGTCTGATTAGTGCAAAAGGTTATCGGGGATAGTGAAACCGATCATTTGAAATCTAATGCAATGACGTGCAAAAAGTACAAGTGCTAAAATTTGCACAGTTCAAACAAGAAAAGTGCTATCAAAGGATATATTTCCAAAGTCCAAATTGATGAGGGGGAGAGTTACTGGGAGTAATAAATTGAGTAACCTATGGATACACAAAAGTAAACAAGATTCCAAAGGAGGACCCTGAACAAATACTCCAAATTTTTACATCCCTCAATTTTCAGAGTACAACCTTGAAATCACATTTTTGCTACATTTCAAAAACTTGCGGCCCTGATTGGCACGGCGCAGATTGTAAACGCCATAAGTTTGCAGATCATCAACGAAACGTGTGGCGGCCAATAGAAAAACCTTAAGTCTTCTTCGCCGTCAGCCATGATGCAAACTAGTCATTAATTTACGAAGTGTTGCCAAGACCAATTTCTGGCCTGAAATTCCTGATCGATCCGTTACAACACTGCCGACGTACAAAGTTTCTTTCGAAGTCAAAGTCATCAAAGTATCGTTAAAATAAAGTTACTCTAAAGTTGCCGTTGGAGCCAGAGCCAACAAAACCAGTTTCTGAGAACGAGGCGACAAACGTTATGAGTGTAAGTGGGTAATGACAAAACAACGAACGTGGTCATAGTAATTTTTTGCACTCACTCAGATTCTATTTTCAATCATACTAAACTATCAAACTGAACTTATTAATAGTGATGGACATAAGCTTTCGTGATCATACCGGGAAATCTATCTTCTTACAAAATAATCTAGAAAAAAGCTACTTTTACGTCACATAAATATGCTACTTAAGGAGAACAACGATTCTGAGTAAAAGTTAGAAGAAAAAACTACGTAAAGCACAAAAACATAGCGTATTTGTTCAAATACAAAATTCATACTCGAGACAACCTGAAAGATTAGTGTGTATCTCCGCACGTTACGGCGTCTAAAATCCAAGATGTAAAATCTGAAAACATTCCTCTATACTCATAGAGTAACACTGATATGATAATGTACTGAATAGAACGGAACATGTCAATGAAACTAAATGCTGCACACCAGCAAATTTATGCACATGTGCTACTTATGGTCTCTAATGCTGATTCTGTTTATTTCGACTCAAGTAAATATCTGTTAAGAAACATGATAATTTTCCATTATTTAAACAACGAGGGAAAAAATATTCTAAATAGTATATGCAGTATACGCTGGAGTTTCCACGAAGAAAAAAGCCGGTTGGCGTGCATTCCATTCCATCAAAGACGTCCGCTTCAGCAACAGTCAAGATCAAGAAAGAAACCTACACCCAGCATTTAAATTCCACCTTTCCGTCAACAATGGTTTATGACTGGGAGACGTGATCAAAGTCGAAAAGCGCGTTATCCGCTATCGACAAAATCATGGAGGAAAGAGTGTGCGAAATCTCAGGTCTCGACCACATCCTCAACATGATTACCAGAGAGCGAACGGGAGTGAAGGACGTCGTTGTCGAAAGAAGCTATTGGCTAGGCACAGAGTTCAACTCACTGACGATAGAGGGTAGGCGATGATCTCGGGGCAGGATAGACCTCTTGCTCTACCTCAACAATAGTGGTAAGACTATATCAGGGGCCAAAAAAACGCGCTTGGAGGCAGAAGGCTCGAAACCCAGAAGGAAGGCCGACATGTTCCAGCCAACGCGATTCGTCGCTGACTACTGGTCGGTCAGAATGATCCAAGTGACACGCAGTATATACAGATACAATGAAAATAAATTAAATACATATTACTATATATATGGTACGTATAATGAACTATATATGCTTATATAGTTCATTATACGTACCATAGCGATACAGGAAGTAAGTTATATTTGATATATCCTGATATAGTAAATATGACATAATTTATACACACGTAAAACAATATTATTTAATATATAAACTTTAAACTAAATGTACTATGCTGGTATACAGTAACACTATTTCATTTACGCAAAATACGGTATATGAATATTACATACAATGCAAAACTATGTTACGCATATGCTGATACGAGCATAAATTCTGTCAATGCCATATCAGCATATGTAATAATATAGTTCCATTTTGCACGATTATATGGTATATATCATAAATACAATATTGGCATTCATAGATCTATACATAAATCTATAGTAATAATACGCTATTACAATGCAGATACAAAATATAATACATCAATAGAGAAAATAAAAGAATTATCTTCTACGCAGAAACGGGATATATAAAATGTACCGACGTGCTGCTTGTGGCACCCCTAAGAACAGAACGAAGTTTTCGTTACATATTCTGATAGTATGGCATGCATTCTATATCAGTACATATACTGTTTGTAAAGTAAAGCTGAATGTTACTACACCTGTGACTGTGTGGTGTAGTCACGGCATACTGATCCAGCCTATATGGAATATATATTCCATAACAGCATTTACAGTGAAACGCATTTCTGTTTTATGTGCTGAAACGATATACGAAGTAAATAGAGTGAGTGTGAAATCTAGACTCTGAGGATTAATTCAAGAGTAAATATATAAACCAAGATAAAGTAAAATTATACCTTACTACGACAGGTAGATAGATATCATTTGTATAAATATTTAATAGTGTAGCAGTGTTTATAATCACTCTGATTACCTTATTAAGTACTGGCACGCTTATTTTATGCATGCTAATTCAGCAACTTAGTTACTGAAATAAACAGTGGCATAGAAAACAAAGTGAACACTTGAGATCTGTATAACGTTTATGGAAGTTTTGTATGCATCAGCGCATTCATAACGTCATTGATAAAATTTGGGAGGTAAATGAAAAGTTCGCAAGGTCCATCAGCAGCCAGAGGTGCATTTCTCTACCTTACAGTAACGTATGCCTTCTGTAGGTGTTTTTCCACCATAGCGATTTGTACGATCGCGCTGACTGAAAAGATCTAAAGATAAATTGCCCGCTGTGCTTACGTC